TCATTTTTAAGATGTCAATATTTGTAATGCTCTGGAAAGCACAACCTTTGTAACAATTTACGTTTTTTATGAAAAAGTTTAGGTGTTAACAAAAAACAATTAAGAGTGCATAGTTTTATAAATTATTTTAGGAGCTTTGCAAGCAAATATGTTCGAAGCCCACAACTTTGTACTCTAGTTTAACTATCATAATAATCTTGTCATTACTCCTATTTTACAGTGGAGGATGCTGAAGCACAGAGAGGTTAACAAACCTGCCTGAGGTCACACAGCTGATGTGGGGCTGAATTATATCCCCTCCAAAATTTATATGTTGAAGGCCTAACCCCTAGTACTTCAGAATATGACTACATTTGGAGACAGGGTCTTTAAGGAGGTAACAAGGTTAAAATGAGGCCATTAGGGTGGGCCCCAATCCAACATGACTGGTGTCATTAGAGGAAGAGGACATTAGGACACAGACACACACAGGGAAGACCACAGGAGGACACAGGGGGAAGACGGCCACCTACAAAGCCTCAGGAGAAGCCAAGCCATCTGGCACCTTGATCTCTGACTTCCAGCCTCCAGAACTGTGAGAAAATAGGTTTCTGTTGCTAAAGTCGCCCAGCCTGTGGCACCTCACTATGGCACCCCTGCCAGCTAGCACACCTGGGAGGCAACGAGGTTGGGCAGTCTGGCCAGAGCCCTCTTGTGACCATGTCATCCTGTGGTATCTGCAGGGGGTTCGTTCCAGAACGCCCCACCCCAAAGGATACCCCAAACTGGAGATGTTCCAGTCCCTTATGTAAAATAGTGTAGTATTTGCACACAACCTACAGACATCCTCCCGTATACTTTAACACATTGACCGCCACGGGAGCTGTATCTAACTGAGGCTAGTTTTAACCCCAGGGCCTCGTGAAGCAAAACCTTGCAGTTAGTTGGTGAAAATCTTACTTGTTGATGATCTTATTATTACAATTAATATTGACAATTTAATTCTAAACACATGGATTGCATTGCATATAACTCATGCACAGAAAACAATAAAAAATAACAAATTAGAAAGGATTGTTTTGTTTTAATAAAACACCATGGCCCCAGGGAAAACATTTTTTTTCTAATGTGGCAGTCAATGTGTTATATCATGTCTAGATTACTATTATATACCTAATGCAACATAAATACTATGTAAATAGTTGTTGAACTATATTGTCTTCTATTTGTATTGTTATTGTTGTATTTTTATTTATTATTATTATTTTTAATATTTTCCAGCTGCAGTTGGTGGAATCGCAGATGCGCCACCTGTGGATATGGAGAACCGGCTGTGTTCGCCATTCTCAGAGACCCAGGGTGGCTGACATTAGGGCTCCTACAGATGCAGAAACGGCCAGTCCACTGTGCCGCAGCAAGGCGGGGCAGAGCTGGAGCTGAGACCCGGGAGAATCCCCTGAGTGGACCTGTGTTTCGGGAAGTCTAGCCCAGGGGCAGCAGGGCGGGCAGCCTGGGGGGCAGGAGAGCAGCTTCGGGGCTCCCGTTGTGGGCAACTAAGGGCCAGCCTCCCGGTGAGGCCAGGCAGTGCCAGCGTGCAGAGGACACACCCCTGCCAGCACCTGCTGACAGTCCAAGGTCTCAGCCAGGTGTGTGCAGGGCTGGTGGTCCAACTAATAAAGAGAGGTTGCCCACAGGACCGAAAGTGACTCTGGACACCAAAGGTGAGGCTTACGGGCATCCAAGAAATAGAGTTCACCCAAAGGCACCTTAGACGTGCAAAGCATAATCAGCGCTGCTTACACAGGCATGTTAGCCTCGCGTGGCTTGGACTGCCCCAGACGCGGAGACCACGAGGCAAGAGTCCAGTGCCAGTAGCGCAGGTGGGAGCTGAGCCGAGGAAACCCACTGCGGATGGCGGGGACCGGGAAGAGAAGCAGCCCATGAAGGATGCGTGACGGAGCCTGTCCCCACCGTGGGCCGTGGCCTTGCACCCAGGCACGTGGCCTAGAGGCCCTGGCTCCACACAAGGCACCCTCCTGCGCAGAAATAACAACTCAGGGTGCAGCTCTTTTTAAATGGCGGTCTGATGGTCTTTGGAACTTTGAGGCTCTGATAGGAAAGCCTGTTTCTCTCACCTCTCCTGCCAAGCAGCAGCAGGCCCTGGGTCATCCCGCCACCCCCATCTTTTCTCCTCCTCCCGAGCTGGGACCACTGCTCACAGCCCCCAGCGCATGGTCAAACCTCCCAGATGGCATGTCCAGC